AGATTACCGTGCACACAGTACATGATATTGCAATTGCCAATGGCAAATTTCTGAAAAAACTTTTCAGTACACCATAACATTAGTTCATCATTACCAGCTACATAGTTCGTGCTGAACAAAAGAAACGTTAACACTATGGATGCGATGAGCAAAAGAATAACAAATACATAATGGACAAATAATTTTGTAATTAATGAACCAATATAATTATCCATTCAAAAATAGCTCAAATACATCGCCGTTACATTACAAAATTTAATGAAAAAAAGTACCGCCTCGGACTTTGTAATTCCTCAACGATGAAATTTAAATAATTCCATCCCTGATATGCAAAAAGACCGGAATAAAACGCCAGCGATGCAGTCCCAACGTCAGGCGTCGTATTTTCGAATATATTTTCAAACGACTCTCTGTACTGTGGTTTTCCTGTAAGTGGGTGTCCATAAAATGGAATGTAAACTAATATTAATACGCACGACTACAAATAAACCATAAACCATATATTATCACAAAAAGAGAAAAAAAAAAAACACAACAAACATGACAGAGGAAAAGAAAACCTGATATTAGCAGCACTGCACCAGTGCCAATAATCAAACACAGTGCAAACAGTTTTGCAACAGTGAAAAAATCCTGAACGAAAGTTGCTAATCGTATTGACATGCAATTTATTGCTGTCAGAATTACTGTAACAAACATAAAAATTAATTAAAACAACAATGTTAGTTCACTTAAAAAAGTTCCCAAAATATTAGTGAATTAGTTTGTTCCTATTCCTCTCTCAAGCAACTACGTCAAATCAAATTTAAAACAGTTAAAATCTTTTCTGTAATAACCTACCAAGTAAAACTGTTGCAAGCAATGCCGGAAGTTCGGCAGGTGGATCACAATTTGGATAAAATGGTCGCAGCATATAAATCGCAAAAGTCAACGCTACAACGGTGCAAGTACAAGGTCTGAAATCAGATATGATAGCAAATAAAAATGGAAGGTTCGAAAATAAAATACAAGTAGTTTTCGACAACAAGCGTAATATGATCTTGAAATTCACCTAACTACTATAGCTTCAACCCAAAGACGTATGAAAGCCAGAAAGGGACCAAATGATTCCATAATATACGCATAATCTCCACCCGACTTGTGAATTAGAGTACCAAGTTCGGCGTAACAGTAAGCACCAACTGCAGCGAACAAACCACAAGCAACCCAAACAATCAACGATAACCCGACACTTCCCGCTTCTAAAATTAAAAATATCCGTTAATGCAGCAGAAAACGTAATCAGCAAGGAAATGAAGAAATAAATAATCTAAAAAAAGTAGATTAATGACTACAACCCACTTTCTTGGACACCCGTCGGTGACACGAATATCCCAGATCCAATGATACAGCCAACGATTATAGAAACACCATTGAACAGTGTGAGTGATTTCGCAAGGCCAACGGTGTCATCTTTTGAGGAAGCACCATTTTTTGAGCCCATCCTAATGATGACAGTAAAAACTGAAAATGGGTTCCATCTAATTTAAATAATTACTAATATCATGATGTAAACATAGGTCAATAAATGGATTATATAAATAAATATATACATATATTTAAAACTAATAACATGGAAATCCAAGAAAATAGCACGGCACAATGATACAAAAACCTTAACCAGAAATCTCCAGTTAAGTTTGTGGATAAAAATTGAATTGAATTAAAGGAACAATCATAGAAGCATTGATAACTTCCAACATATCTATCCCCCAAATTTTACAGCAACGAGATCATTCTAAAATTTCCAAACCAATTTAAATCCCCCAACAAATCCCTGGTCCCATTTGGCTGTTGCTTGGATATGGCCGCATTATGAATGAACGATATCTCAACCCAGACAGATGGCTTACTGTTTCGTTATTATCGGACGGCACTCGTAAATAACATATAAGTTAGACCGGTAGCAATTATTCATATGGTCCAACGAAAAATCCTTAGAAATCAGTTATTCAGGATGCCACTCCAACTAGAATCACGGACTTCGTTTCTGTTTGCTACTTTTAGGTCGATGCATTTAATCTTTAAATACTTTTAAAAATGTCTGATCAAACACCACATAGTTTTTCAATCTCATATGTCTACACTTTCCCAAATACATCCCAGGTACAATTGGAGAAGGTATACTCCCCTCCTCCCTTCCCCCCTTCTCCCCCCCTATGAAAAATCACGGCAAATCTTCATTGGAAGTTCCCGAAAAAAAAGAAAGGAAAATGCTGAAAAGGGATGAAATTAAAGAGCAAAAACCACGCTTATAATGCTGATTTTTGATCACAAAGCCTCTTTGTGTGATAGCAATAATCATATTCCTGTAAATTCACATATTTCGAGAACAAAGAACAGTCATAATGGATCAAAGGCGATATCCAAGTAGCAACCCTTTATGTAGAAAGCTCTTTCATTTTTTATCGCTTTTCAAAGTATCAGGTCATTTTTTAAATCACACATCTTATTTTTAGAATTCGATCTTTCCAACTGGGCTCCCCCAATCACTTCACATAACGAGGGAAAGGTAACTTCTTAATAGGACAAGGTTAAAAAAGTTACTATGCAATAAATTCACACCGGAAATTCTGGCCATTTCACTTGTATCTTTTTTGTAATTTTTTACGTTTTGTTACACCTTACGTTCATTCTTACAGATTTAAGTAAATAGAATTCGGAATTTCAACTTATCGGAGGTAAAATTTCTAAACATTGAACAAAAAAATACAGAAATTCTTCATTACAACGATCTCTTGTTTTTTGAAAAAAAAAAAATACATGTCATGAAATGGAGAATTGCACCAGATATTGCACCAGATTAAGGTATCCGTCGAGTGATTCGTAAAGGATACGCTATGATGACAGAAATAGGAATGATTATAGGAAAAAAGGCAAACATGTCACGCTTGATAGCAAAATACATCATTACTATTGCTGCCATGTAGAAAAATATTTGTTTGTTGCACGTGTCTGTTTACGACGAAATTTGTTATTCAGCCTTTTAAAATTATTCTCTTAAATACCGATATGGAATTCATGCTACAATACTGAAGTCAGAACTGTCTTTTGTTGACTGATTGATCACTCTACCAATAACCCTTTCATCAGATTTAAAGACGAATTATTGTAGGAAGAATAGTTTTCGATCCTTGTTCTCAAACAACCATTGGGAAATTGGAAAATCAAGAAAAAATACGACAAAGTACAAAGCCTTTTACATCAAAGAAGAATGGCAATGGAAATGTAACGGCGCAGTAGTGTTATTTTCGCTAAGAAACACAATATTACTAATATACTTGCCATCAGCAAGTTATTACTAATCTCCTTTTGCAGTCAAATATGTTTTTAGTCGTTCAGAAAGTATGTACCATTGGTAGAGACACATGTATGTAGAAGAATTTCGACCACTGGTGCTTTTTTGGCCTACCATTATGCTTAATAACTGAGAATCATGAAGTGCTCCTGCTGATTCAGAAATGAAGTGATTGAGAGGAAATACGAAGGTACCTGATAACAACACTTATGAAAGGTGTAAACCGAAACAGACAGAATGAGTTTGAGTTCAAATGATACCGTATGAAATAGGTGGGTGACTACCTATTTTCAAAGAAAACATCGATAACTCCAACTTAACTAAATCACTTATATACATTGCACTATCACACAATCAATACTTAAATATTTAATAAGTTTTTCCGTAAAGCAAGTACACAAATTTAGAACTCAACATTGCATATATTTGAGAAGAACTTTTGGACACTTAAATAACAACATCATTATGTGCGACTCAGTCTTGTCACCTGTACAGACACCTCCCTTGCTGATTAACCTAATCAATAGTTGTCGTATTTTAAAATAAACGAATTTTCTACAGGACTCCAGCTGACTTCTAAAAGAAGAATGTCTTCTGTCAGTTGACCGATAATTTCTAAAAAAAAAACCGCGAACGACAAGTTTACAGCTCACAACATTACATAACAACCTTTGCATGTTTTCGCACAATACCACATTTGCCCTTGCCTCACCCAAATATGCACTACGGTTATTACAGTAGCATTCAAATAACTATTATCACAGCAATATTATATTCGCATTTCCAGCATTCTCGACTGCCAATTTAACATCTATCTGCATCAGATGCAGAGAACTCTACTGTGGATTTAAGAAATGACCACTGGTCAGTAGCATCCCCAGCAGCTACACATTCCCATGGGTAGAAAATCCACTGGAGTACCCGTCCCCCGCGTTCCTCAGCTACTTTAAAGCAGTTTATGGTAAACTATGCATGCAATCAATACTTCGTTTCCTTTTGTAACCCCGCACGAGCACTCTTCGATGAATTATTCATACAAGAATTCATCCCGCCTCTCCTTCAAATACGAAAATATCGAAACATTACACTCGTCCTCCTCCTTCTCTGCCCTTCCTTCTGTCTCCTCCCTTGTACTGGAAACACTTTGACTGCAGCAACCTTTTTCATCTTTTTCACATTCTGCAATATATTTTGCGGTCGTCTTTGCTGTTGTTCTCGCTCTGTCTCGTCGATGTTATAATCTCTGCTACCCTCTCATCTATCACACTATTCCTTGTCCTATTTGAATGTCAACAGCCTGCTCCAAAACAACTCTTGCTTTCGAGATCCCGTACTCTATTACCGGTTGTCATTCGGGATTTTTGTATTACTCCCGCAGTATCGGTTTCCTGCTGCTCTTCTCATCAATGTGCTTCATTTTCTTTCTTATCAGTAGGTATCAGCAGGTTTTCACTCGCTATTCAGTGATCATCCGTCACTGTGTTTTTATACTTTGTCTCAGTTATTTTACATGCTCATTATGCTGTTCCGCTTGCATAAAAACAAATCTATTTTGACTGTTTTTCTCTTTTTTTCTTTGATTCGGAGAAGTCTGCTTACCATCAGGTACTGATTTCGGTACGTTGCTGATTTGGTTGTGTTTTAGGATACGCTGGTTGATATTATGGATAGTGTGGATGTAGTTGTGCTGATAGGTCTTCTTGTTGCAATTTCCTTTTTCGGTCTTTTCACAGCATTACGTGGCGTAAAGCAAACATCCGCATCTCAGATTCTGCACGGATCGAAGTTTGTGCTACTAGCTTATTCTTATTGGAAATATGTAATTTATGCCATATTTGTGAAAACAATACTTGCAGTTGAAATCTTGAAGCTTGATTTAACGATTAATATCGGATTAGTTTTAATTGTCTGACCATTTGAGAATGTTTTGTTAGTTTATTGTAGTGATTCCTGAATGGGGCAGCAGAAATAATTTTCAGCGTATCTATACTGACTTCAGCGTTATCGGTTTGTTCGGGATTTCTTTCCGCAATCTCACTTCTTGGATTTCCTGCGGAGGTATATGTATTGGTCAAGTTGTTCAATTAAAAATGTTTTCACGGTTTATTCCTTCATTTAGCATTTAATTCCATTCAGTCTATTCGGTTTTACCATTTAACTGTTTACGATCTTGTTGAGTAGTAGGAGATTTGTAGAGATTTTTTTTTCAATATCCGGCTATCTTACATTCATCTCTGTTTTCCAAAATTTATATCAGTATGTTTGCTGCACTACGAATTTTCGTGCAGGTTTATTACCAAGGAACAATGATATTTTGGTATGGTCCGATGTATATGGTGGCATTTCCTATTGTAGCTTATTGCTTCTTGCCAGTTCTCTATGATATGAAACTTACAAGCATATACGAGGTTGGTATCTTAACTGCTTTTTCAGCTCCTAATGCATTGCGCAAATTTTTTCAATTTTACCATTCATTCTTTTGATTTGTAGTACTTGGAGATTCGGTTCAATTTTGCATGTCGTTTCTTGGCTTCACTTACTTTCTGCATCCAGGTAACAATGTTTTTTTTTTTTTTTTTGTTTTTTTGATTGCCACAAAACTTAAATTATTGTTTTTACAACAGGTCGTTTTGATTAGTCATCTTGTTGATTGAAAATATTAATTTTGATGTGATTTTCCCTGCTATTCACGTACTAAAATTGTTTTATGTTGGAGTTTTCTGCAACATCTCCTGCAAATTATTACAATAAATAAGAAACTTTTTGAGTAAATCATAATGGAAAAGTTCTCCACAGCACGTTAAAGTATGAGGTGAGCTGCAGAATCAGTACCGTAAGCTATTACCACTTTTGATTGGATGCTAATCAAAACTGCTGTCATTTAAGTTTCAGTAGTTTTTTTTCGTAGTAACTTCTAATGTTGGAATTGTATTGCTTGTTCAGATTCCTGTCCCATGAAAAGTGAGGCTAGAATTGTGATAAATGATGTTAGTGGTAAGCTCAGTTTTTTTCACGTCTTCATGATTTGTAATTTAAATTTCATTTCAAAATAACTTTTTCAATTGCAGACTTGGCTTTATGTTAGTGTAGCACTGTATGCACCGGCACTTGCACTGTCGGCAATTATTTCCATTCCATTATCTCTATCAGTTGTTTTGACGGCCGGTCTTGCCGCTGTTTATGTAACGTTGGTAGGTTGCTCTACTAGGAAAAGAAGATGTTTAATTGAGGTATTCTTTTTATTGATTCACGATCCAGCTTTCAGGGGGGCGCAAAAGCAAGCATATATACTTCAGCTTTACAAATGGCACTAATTTTAATCAGTATGGTGCTGATTTTTTCAGTCAGTTTATATCGCTTTGGTTTTAATAGTGTTTTGAAAACTGCTGTTGTTGGAGGTCGCCTTCAGTTACTTGAGTAAGTCTTTTATCTATGTTTTTAAGCAAAAATATTCCACTGACATTTCGTTTATTTTATCACTAAAATGGACCCCAATGCCAATTTAGAAGATTGCAAAAAACAGCGTTGATGGGAATCAAGGATAGTCCAAAATCTCAGTACAGTTTGTTTGATGCACTTGATTTACTAGAAAATAATAAATTACAGATGCTATACTTCAACAGTTTTCTGTTGATTGCAGTTTTCGAATTGATCCACGTATCCGACACTCGGTTTGGTCTTTGATAATTGGTGGTACAGGAAATATATTGTGTCTTTTTGCAGCAAATCAACTTACAACACAGCGTTATATGGCAATGAGTTCGCTTAGATCTGCACAACGGTAAATTTTTTCATCACCTCATTTTTAGGTATTTTGACAATAATTTATGGAGTGGTATTTTAGGGTTATTTTGCTAAATATTCCTTTCACGTTTCTGATTCTTACTACATATGTGGGTGCAGGGCTGATAATGTATCACAGATATTTCCATTGTAACCCTATTTTGCAGTCAAAAGACCAAGTGAGTGTTATAATCTCATTTTATTTTAAATTTGAAATATGAATATGTTTTTAAATATTTGTGATTTCCCTTTATGTGCTTTCATCTATTACTTTGTTTAGATTTAGTTGTTCTCTATAAAATCTGGATGAAATAATCCCTAATAATCTAATCGATATTTTAAGTATGTCACATGAAGTTCATCTTTACATCAAGCCACTATATGTTGCTGGAACATAGATGTGTTTCTTGCAGCTTTTGCCTCATTTCGTTGTTGATGAATTATCCTCGATACCCGGAATGATTGGACTTTTTGCAGCATCCGTATATAGCGCAGGTTTAAGGTATGAATAGAATAATAAAGTTTTTCCAGTATTTTACTCAATTAGAGTACACTTTCAAGTTGAGATTTGATAAATCTATGTATTGCATATGGTAGACATTGTATTTCCTGATGTACTTATTTCGAAAGTAAAACTATTTTAGTACAGCATCAGCTTCATATAGTGCCCTCGCTGCAGTATTCATCGAAGATGTTGTTAAACAATTCCAGATTAAGGTACAAAAACACGAACCAATAAAGCCAAATACTAGCATCTTATTAGCGCGATATTTGCGTATGTGTTACTGCTGTTTGATTAATTTTGTTCCAAGCTTAATATCATCTATATTTTCTTTCTTTAAAATAACTATTTTCAGCGTTATTGTTCTGTTCTTTATCAATGACAATCGCATATCTTTGTAGCATAATGAAGACGATGGTGTTGCAAGTTAGTTCTTGGTGTGCTAGCCATAAAAATCATTCTATTCTGTTGTAAACTTTATTTTAACACCGCGGAAGCTCATGTTTTCATTTTTTTACAGGTCTCACTTTCAATATTTGGCATTGCTGGAGGACCCGTGTTGAGCGTTTTTTGTCTGGGCATGTTTTTCCCGAAAATTAAGGGACTTGCAGCTTTTGCTGGTTAGTGTGTAGGAACATACACAGGATTATAAAATGTGGTTGAAATTAAAATTATTAGGGTAATATCCGCTAAAAGACTTGAAGGGAATGATTTACTGAGTTTAAGATGGAATTTTAGCTCAGGTGGCGTCAACAATCTTCTGCGTCTTTATTGCTGCCGGTGCATTAGTGAATCATATAAGACCTGTTGATTTACCAGTTGTTGAAACTTGCGAACAAACTAATATCACTTTAACATTTGTTGAAAAACCAGAGTACGGAATGGTCCATCCTTTATACAGGTATACTTGTTTCTACCTTTAACATTTTTTCTTGTTTATCTTTGGCTTATATTCAAAATGAAATATAGTATCAAAGTATTAGCTAGAAACTACGTAGAGAGACTATTACCTATTTTTCAGTAATTCATGGTTAATTCAGCTCTTTCGTATTTCTTACCAATACTACAGCATCTCTGCTCTGTTGGTTGCATTTGTAGTTGCACATATCGTTCAATGGTTTTCAGGTATATTTGGGTTTTCCTGAAATGTCAAGTCAGTATAAACTTTTGCTTATTACTGAACAAAATCATTTGTAATTTGCTGATTTCAGGAAATACCAGACATTTGCCAGTAGAAGTAAGACTACTATCACCTTTACTTCGACCAAGGCATAACCGAAAGGTATTGTCAGTTTTCATAGCTGCATTTGTTAACATTTTGTGTGTTTTTCAGTAACTGTCTACTGGAAATCAAAAGTCCATCACGATTCGCAAAGATGTTCTAAATATAAATTGATTTTTTGAACTAATTTTTGATTCGTACTGTTTATTTTTTACGTGACTTTTATATGGAGAATTTTCATTCTTTGTGATCTTAGGGAACAGTAACCGACTGTGTTTCTGAAACAAGAAAGGATGGCGAAATTCCGTTGGAAACTGTCAAATAAGATGAAGCTTCTGTTATGGTATCTGTCTTGAACCAACCATTTATCAGGACCCTTGTTCAGATATTCTAGTAAATATTCTACTTATTGTTTTGTTTGCTTTACAGTATACTTCTCAGGTATATTTCGATGGCTGGGACGGATTTGTGATTTCGGTTTAGAACTTACGACGGTCTTGGAGAGCATAAAATTAGTCTTTTGTCTTATATCTTAAATGTTAAAATTTACTGCTATAAATGGATTTGTTAAGTCTAGTATTGTGTCATGTTTATGGACAACGCCATTTTATTTTATGAAACGATAGACACCGGATGCTTGAATATTATTCATCAAATTATCGAATGAATAATTTGTGCTTTGGATATTGGTAGGATGAATTTTTAAGAGTATAGGATACAATATTTCAAGTGTTTCTCATCGTAGAAGTATAAAATTGTGGTATTGCTACGTTTATGTCAAAAAATGTTCAAAAATAACGTTGCAACAAAGTTACTGCTACTCGTTTTTCCAAGTATACTACAATTATTTCCTTCTAAGTGGCGATAAACTGAATAAATTGAAAATATGAAACTGTAAGAAAAAAACTGCACAACAATTCGACTCTTTATGAAACTCAAAATTTTGTCGAAAATGTTTAAATACTTAAGGATACTTTAGTAAGCCTACTCCATCAAACTTGGAGCAGTTCTCATCCTCATCTTTTTTTTTTTTTTTTTTTTTTTTTGACAGCAAGTAGGTTTTGTCACTATCATAAATTAAAAGATGGGATAAGAGTGGTTATGTGTGTGATGACGTTATTGTTTCTTTTCATATATATGACACAGTTTATGACAGTCTACGAGCAAATCTTCGAAAATATCGGCTGACACCTGTATAGTCGGTTGATCTAACTAAGAATTGAATGTCAATAAACTACAGTAATTCATATTGCTTTGTACGTATTCACAATCAGTGATAAATATGAGACGTAAAAGATGCTTACTACTGGTGAATATTAACTTTGAGTTTCAATGAAAAAAGCAAACATTTGATTTGGAGTAAATGAATGAATTCGTCTTTAAGACCATTGTAGTTCTACAGATCATGGTTTTCAGCAATTATTGAGTACCTTCCAGGTCGAGTGGTGGGTCGCCGTATTCCAGCTTTATTTTGTCGCGGAGAGTCCGTCGTAAGAATTCAAGTCCACAAAAGAAGTCATGACGAGGAAAAGAAGTACGGAAATCTCTGTAAGGATTTGTGCTTCGATGTAGTATCATACACCTTATGAGTAATATGGTGCTGCTACTGTAGGTAAGGAAGAATCTCGGGAATAAAATGGTGACAGGTAGAATGAGTGGAGTGCTCTCATCTTTATAAGATTATTTCTTCACTGGTAACGGTTAAGGGAAGAGTTACCTGACAAACATTTGTCCCACATTCTCCTCCCCTTCTTCTCTCCATCATAATTTGCACGATGTAATTGTCCTTTGGCGTCAATATATAGATATGTATACCCTATAAAGATTCATATTAAGTGGTCAGAGTCTCGTTGGTGTAGTTACAATGTAGAAGAGAGGGGGAGCATGACGTGTGTCCATTACTTGAAAATCGTGGAGACAGTTTTGAACTCGAGTGACACAGAACGTTGTGGATTAATGTACTGTGAGATGAGGATTTTCACCGAGCTCTAGTGGTAGTGGATTGAACAGAAGATGTCGTGGTTGGTCCGTTCGGGACATGACCTCTTCGAGGAGGTTGTTTTGCTGGAACACCTGGGAGTTGTGCTGAGGTCCTGTGAGGAAGTGGGGATGGAGTAGGAGAGTGGTGGCAGGATGATTACGGTTTGATAGGTATTTTGGAGGTATATAAGTGCTCTCCTTAACTATTCAATTCTTGTCATTGTTTGGAATTGTGTGATTGATATTTTAAGCAATAGTGCTACGTCCGATAAGAAAGATGAGGATAAAGTGGGCGTTGTTAATTATAAAGAATATTTTTGTCTACAAGAACAGTGAGACAGTAATTATATTCAAATAGTAGTGGTTCTACAACTAGAGGATGGGTAAGTAGCGAAAGAGAGAGAAGCTGTGTCTTACTGATTTTTCAGAATTAGGATCTGTTCGAAGGTGGATAGATGAGAGCACACGGAAAATCCCGGTCTGAAGTATGTTAGGAATAGTTTTTTATTTTGTATTTGTTTTTTCACATTTCCTCCTTTTCATTTTACCTCCTGTCTTCTCTTTCAGCCAAGAATAATAATAATAATGATTATTATTAGTGTACAATTTTTAGCTGTGAAGCAGCAGTTCATGTGAAGAGATGTCCTTCCAGTCTGAAATTAATAGCAGATGTAAGAAAAAGCGCTTTGCGAGTAATAGTGATTATGACAGGATAGTGGTTATGTGGTTGTATTTGTAACAAGCTGGTAGTAATGATATATATTGCAGTAGTGGTCGTGATTATCTTAGTAATGATAATAATCGTAGTAAAGTGGCTGAAAAAATATTTGCTAGTTCGCATCTTTGTTTGTTTTCTTCAATATTACTTCAAATCTGTTTACTAATATCTCGAATAAACTTGTTGTACGAAATTGTTACCTTGATAAGGTATTTTTTTTCTACCAAGAATTCTTTTGCCATTAGAAACGACGAGTGGAGTTTTTCATATGAACAGTAAATCTTTCTTGTTGATCTTTCTATGTTTATATGCTATTTATCGGTTTGTTTATATAAACTGTTGAAATTATATAGTCACGAGGTAAGTCTTTCAGGCAAGTTATAAGAAGGGAAAAGATTTGTGATGTTTTTTTTTCTGGAATAAATCACAGTTTGTTTTAAAAGAAAGTGGTGAACAATGGGTTGCGTGAACAGCATTGATCAGAATGCGAAGGCAAGGTCAAAACAAATAGATGAACAGGTGCCTCTTCTTTTTTAAAATTTATTTTTTGATTATGTTTCAACAGGCGTAAAGTGATATTTACTTAAAGAGTAAGTTATTACTACTGTGAAAGTTAGTGATTTGTCAGTATTTCCAGCTAAAAGCAGACGGAGAAAGGGCATCTCGGGAAGTAAAACTTTTGTTGTTGGGTGCAGGAGAATCTGGGAAAAGCACCATTGTGAAACAAATGAAAATCATTCACGAGACTGGTTACAGCGATGAAGAGCGCAAAGCTTACAAGCCTGTAGTATATTCAAATACAATTCAAAGTATGATGGCAATAATCCGAGCTATGGGACAGCTGAAGGTATCATTTAGAATTTGACATGCTATTAAAATTATGAGCGACTAGTCGCAAAATCTATTGCTGAAGCTGTAGGAACTGTCTGAGAAATATGAAGCAAAAAATTTCAGAATTATTCATGTTAGTGGAGGAATCTGAGGAGTCTTTGAATGCTTCTCACAAGATGAGGTTTTTCATTTTAAAGCAGATAGTGAATATTGTTGTGGCTTTCATTTATTTGGATCATTTATGGGAGAAGCAAGATTCCATAAATCGTGGAATTTGCAGATAGATTTCTCAGCAGATGTACGAAATGAAGATGCTCGCCAGTTCTTTATGTTAGCTCAAAGTTGTGATGAAGGAGAATTGCCTCCTGAGTTAGCTGTTTGTATGAAACGTTTATGGGCAGATGCAGGAGTTCAAGAGTGCTTTATGCGTTCCAGGGAATATCAGCTGAATGATTCTGCTCCATATTATCTGAATTATCTGGACAGGCATGTTTCTTACATTCACCATAAGTTTTGTAGCAGTGTTACCTGCTGCAGATCTTGTTATAGCTATCTTGATTTTTCTTGCCTTAGTAACTTTAATTAGATATTGAGAAATAAGCATATAGTTAGAGGTTGCTGTTTGTTGTCTCAGGATTTCATGGATACAAAAGAATTCTTTGTGTTCCCATAATTTTGATCGTAATGTATTGTCGTGAAAGTTTTCTAATGTGTTCTGTTTCCAGGATATCACAGCCTGGTTATGTGCCAACGCAAGATGATATTTTGAGGACGCGCGTAAAGACAACAGGAATTGTTGAAACACATTTCACCTACAAAGATTTGCATTTCAAGTGCGTGTCAGAATGATGTGATATTATTACCTTTCTTTTCTGGTACAGCTGATATTTCATATTCACCAGTCATTTAGATGTTATTTTTTTTAGAATGTTTGATGTTGGTGGACAACGCTCTGAACGCAAAAAGTGGATTCATTGCTTTGAAGGTGTAACAGCTATTATCTTTTGTGTAGCAATGTCCGAATATGATATGAAGCTTGCGGAAGACGATGAAATGGTAAGAATGTTGTGTTTTTTCTTTTTCATTGCCTGATTCACTCGCCTGTCAAATCCCAAACTTATTTAACGTGTGTTTATTTAGAAAACTTTTTAAGTATTTCTGTAGCTCGATAATAGTAATTTGACCAAGCTTATCATTAATAAACGAAGTTATTCCTAGTTTTTTTTTGTCACAATGAGATTTCAAGATTGAGTGTTATGAGGTTATGTTTCGGTAATTACAGAATCGGATGGTGGAAAGTATGAAATTGTTCGATTCAATCTGCAATAACAAATGGTTTACCGACACGTCGATAATACTATTCTTAAATAAAAAAGATCTTTTCGAAGAAAAAATAAGAAAGTCGCCGTTAACCTTATGTTTTCCAGAATATACCGGTCAGAACTTATATATTATTTCACCTTGCTAAATAAAACGCACTGTTTCTGAGCATTTGCAGGTGCTTTTACCGGCACAAGCTGCTTCCAGATGGAACTGGTTTTTTAATATACATAAGCATTACTTATTTATTAGATGTGACCCTCATAAATCGTCAATTTCAGGTACAAACACGTACGAAGAAGCAGCCGCTTATATACAACTCCAGTTTGAGAATTTGAACAAACGAAAAGATGGTCAGAAAGAAATTTACACTCACTTCACGTGTGCAACGGATACAAATAATATACGCTTTGTGTTCGATGCCGTTACCGACATAATAATTAAAGAGAACTTACGGCAATGCGGTCTGTTTTAGG